GGAGAACCTACATCATCTGTCTAGCCTCTTCATAAAAACCTCCAGTGATGGAGCGCCCACGATTTCTGGAGGCCAGCTGTTCCACTGGTTAATTGTCCTCACTGTCAGGAAGTTTCTCCTTAACTCCAGGTTGCTTCTCTCTTGGATTAGTTTCCAACCATTGTTTCTTGTCTTGCCCTCTGGCGCTTTGGTGAACAACCTGACCCCCTCTTCTTTGTGGCAGCCCCTCAAATACTAGAATACTGCTATCATGTCTCTTTGCGTGTGTGTTTGTGTGTGCACACACGTTTCCAGCACAGTTGCCTCCTGAAAAAGCACCTTTGGTCCACTCCTGTTTTATCTTCAAAATGCTTATTTTCTCCAAATCATTCATCTTAAGAGGAGAGCCATCTTACAGCCAGGACAGGGGCTGGCAGGGAGGGTCCCCGAAAATGGCAAGACTGGGGGGGGGGTTCTATTTTGGAAATCAAGATTGTCACACAATGGCTTTGTTCAGGCGTGGAGAGATCAAGAGCCAGCAAATGGCTTTGGGCAGCGTAACACTAACCAAGGAGATCAGTGCATGTGTTAAATATACACCTTGGTATATTTGACACCCTACCTTAATTTTTTTATAAGTAACGTAAGGCAGCCAATACTCCTTCCTAATGCTCCTATTTTCCCCACAACAACCCTGTGAGGTGGGCAGGGCTGAGAAGAGTGATTGGCTTAAGGTCACCCAGCAAGCTTTGGTGCCTAAGGCAGGAGTAGAACTAGATAGTCACTTGTCTGAGATGGTCTAAGGTCTCCTGCTTGAGAAGATCTCCACGGTCCCTTCCAGCTTTGTTATTCTTCTTTAATGTATATATTGCAAGTCCACGTATGAGATGCCATATGCCAGGGCTTTTCAACCCGTGGTACGGGTACCACCTGTGGTACATGGGCACCTGGCAGGTGGTACGCGACCATCCTAGAAAAGTGGTAGCGGGGGAGGGGAATGAGCTGAACCGGTGGCAGCACCGCACAAGCCTGAGCGAGAGACGGCTGGAGCTGCAGGGCTGTCAGGGCTCAGCGGAAGCACCAGGATCGGCGCTTCTTCGGGGCTGTCAGGGCTCAGCGGAAGCGCCAGGATCAGCGCCAGGATCCAGCTGGAGCTCAGCGCTGATCCTGGTTCTTCTGCTGAGCCCTGAAGAAGCGCCGATCAGCTGGAATGTTGCAGCCTCTCCAGGGTCTTGTGATTTACATTCAGATGCTTGGCAACTGATTCATATTTATGACGGTCACAGTGTCCCAGGGTCATGTGAGGTGACCAAAACCTGCTGCAACCACCCAGCAGATGGGGGGAATGAAAACCAAACACCCCCCACCCCACCCCCGCTGCCAATCCCCAACAGAAATGCTCACAACAATGGAAACCTCGGACAGGAGGAAGAGCGCCACCGGGTGGGCAGGCAAGCGTCTTGCTCGGCTGTGGATTGGGGGGCACTTTTTTCAGTGTCATTGTAACTTCAAACCGTCACTAAGCGAACTGTTGTAAGTCGAGGACTACCTGTACTTCATCACTTTTTTCCTTTTTTTGGGGGGGGGTCATCAAGTTTTTGACACCTTGCTAGGCGACTGGTGGTCCTCGGATGTTGCCGTATCCTAAAAGTGGTAACAATGGGTGAAAAGGTTGAAAAGCCCTGCCATATGCTAGAGAAAGAAAGCTGGGCCAAATCCAAGAGATTTGGGATCCACCGATGTGCTTCGCCCGTGCCTCCTCTTGGGGGCAAAGCAGCCGATGGAATAAAAATAATTTGCACCCTTGGCCGGCCAGCCACTCGGCTCTGTTCAAGGCTTGGAGAGACCCTCCCCTCCCAGATGTCCTTCTCATTCTCACCCACCCATGTTTTTTTTCCTCCGTAGGCTTTGGTGGTTCAGCAAAGGTGTTCCGCTTCCTGAGCTGGAAAGCACGACAAGCTCGTCCTCGACTTACAACAGTCCATTTAGTGACCGTTCAAAGTTACAACGGCGCGGAAAATGACCGTTTTTTTCACACGGCCGTTGGAGCATCCCCAGGGTCACGCGATCCAAATTCAAAGACACTTGGCAACCGGACTCGTATTTACGATGGGTGCAGCGTCCTGGGTTTGTGTGACCCCCTTAAAAGCAGTCAATGGGGAAGCCAGATTCACTTAACGGCCGTGGTTCACAACTGAACAATCGCAACGATTCACTTAACAACAGTGGCAAGAAAAGCCACCGAGTGGGGTGAAACTGACTTATCAAATGTTTCAACTTAGCAACCTCAATTTTGGTCGTCAGTCAAGGACCACCTTTATTCCAAAGATACATCACCCACCCACCGTCCCACGGCAAACATCCCACAATAAATCACATTCTCCAAACTGCCAGTTGTGGTTCTTTTTTCTTTTAATGAAGGATTTTGCACTTTTTTTCAAACAGTGATTGCCATCAAGACAGCGGGTCTCTAAACGCTAGAGAAAGTTGCAGCCGATCAGGGCGACCGACGACACCCGTTAATTTTTCACAACTACATCTAGTGCTTTTTTTAACGCACCCCGGATGCATGCAGTGCTATGGAAACGACACACAAAGGAGACGCCATGCTTTACGAAACGCAGAGAAGGAAACCTCGCACGGGAAGCTTTACCAAGCCAACATATTTTTTTTCCCCCACGCAAACGAGAAGCTCTGATTTGAACTGAATGACTGACATGTCCCAGAGACGGATTAAAAGATCTTTCCGGCTCGCCCCAAATCCCAAGGTATTTAGAGTTAAGCACGGCCTGGAATTCTCCCTCTCAAGTCAGCCTTCGGTGTATAAATGCGATTTTACTGTTTTGCCCTGCCCGCAAGCAGCAGAAAGCAAAAGCAGCGATTAATTTTGGGGAAGCCAGGGCAAGTAAATGTCACTTCAAAGTCACCTTCAAAAGGCTTCTACGGGTTATTTTGATCAGAGGTTTAGGCTACAGATGTGGGGAAAAACAACAACGCGGCACCTCTGACTGGCTTTCCAGGTTCTTCCTGGTCCATTCCCGACGTGCCCAGAACATTTCTCTAATCACAAGCAATTCCCATACAGACATTCACCCAGGCCACTTGCTGAAGTTTCAAACGAGAGACAAAGAGAGGGGGGAAAAAAAAGAAAGACATTTATGAAGATTTGGAGAAAGCCCAGGCTTTTAAAGAAATGCACCGGTGGCTGTTTTTGAACCCGCAGCAAAGCTAGAAGAGGGTCTTAGCTTTGTCTGGCAGCCCTTCCAGCTTGTTTGGAGAACAAGCCAGGATTCCTGGTTGAGAGAGGAGAAGTGGCCATTTCAGGGCGAAGGAGGGGCCCAAAGCCAGAGCAACTGAGCTGTGGGCATCTGCCGGGCGCTGGGGGGGGTGAGCGAGGCAAACCTGGCTAAGCCAGGGTTCAGCTACGATCATCCCCCACCCACCCCAACAGGTCCTCTCTCTCCCCCAGCCAGCCCGGAGACAGAAAGAGACAAAGTGTACCAGGTTCGAATAATTCATTGTTAGATACTAACGACCACGCTCTGCTGGCGACGAGCGTGGGGATTAAAAAAGAAATCAATTATGGGGAACACTGTCCCCGATAATTATACACACCCGTAGTGCAATGGAGGTCACTGCCTCCGATATTAACACTCTTGGTAGGCCAAAAGCTACCTAGTTCTTGGACATTATGGGAGACCCTGCCCCCGATAATGGGAATCAACAATAACTTTGCAGGACTGGAGATTGGGGTCGTCGTCCGTCGTCCCCCCCCCCCCAAATCACCCTGCAGGACTGGAGGGTTTTCTGCAACGGGGCAGTTGGTGTCAAAGCCTGCAGACAAATTCCCTCCGGGTTGGCCCTCGGCGGGGAAGGGCAGGGGGCTGAGTTGAAGCCCAGGTTGGGGAGGGGAAATAGGGGGGGTGTCTGCAGTTGCTGGCCACATCTGGACAGGCAGTAATCCAGCGGACGAGATCCCAACTGGGTCTCGTATAGAGCTGAGCAACGACGCAGAGGGATCGACGCCAGCGTGGGCGTCGCGACGGGCACGGCCAGAATGTAAACCTGTGGCACAGCTGCTCAAATTTCTGACATCTGGAGGGGGCCGGGGTGTTTTTCCTGACACCCCCCCCCCCATCCTGGGCGCCAGAAAGAGGCAACGGCTGCAGACCCTTCTCCCCGCAGGTGAGCTTCTGCCACGCTGCGGCGGTTCCCCTTTTCTAAAACTTTTTTTAAAAAAATTTCCAGATGTTTCAACCGCCGATCCTGCAAGGCCGTCCATCGGCCCCGAGGGCCCCAATCTCCAGTTTCCTCACGGTTAGCAGATGCTGCTTTTTATTAACTTGTATCAAAAAAACGACAGTATAACTGTCATAATTATGGAAGTCACTGCTTCCGATAATTATATTCGGTAGAACACAAATAGCATTTATAGTGAACACTGTCACTGATAAATAAATAACTAATAAATATCTTAAAGGGCCGAGTCCGGCGGAACTCGACCCTCCCAGTGCGACCGACACGGAAAGACTCTTGTGTGTTTTTTTCCCGGTGGGCCACAAAGCAAGAAGACAAACACAACGCGGCTCTCCTCCCCCGCACCCCAAAAAAGGTATTCCCGTTGCTAATTCCTAAATCGTGCCACCGGGACCCATCCCGGTCGGCCTCATTTCCCGCCGAGTTAAGCGGCCGGAGAACTGGACACAGAAGGCAGAAGGCTCCACGTCCCAGGCTTTTCAGGTGGGAGATTCGAACTCGGCTCTCAGTTTTTCCCCAAGCAGTCGAGTGCTCCCAATTTAGATCTTTTGCTTCACGGGAGTTTTTTTTTCTTTCACGCCAACTGGAACGTGGACGGCTTCTGCGCGCCTCTGTCCAGCCCGACGCGGATGGTTCACTTATTCTAAAAAAAACCAACAAACCCCCAGAAATCCGGCGGATTGCACGTTGGACAGGGAGACTGATTTGCACCTTAAAAATCTCTCTTCCCGAGACGCTTTTGAACGCCGGGGCCTCTAAAAAAAAAAATCTGCTGAAAAGATAAAGGGGAGGTAGGTGTTCAGGGTGCAACGGGTTGGGCAAAAGAGGGCGAGGAGGGGAGAGATCGGTGGGCAGTCTTTGGGAGGCGGGGAAATCAAGGTGTTCAGAAGTCGTTGTCGATGTCCCAAACGTCGCCCGAGAGGGCGTTCGCTGCTCCTTGGATGGTCCACGTCACGAAGGCAAGTTGGTTCCTGAAGAGGTCTTCGTCGAAAGCGCTCGCGTTGGTCTTGAGGAAGCTGACGTGTTCTAGCAGGGCCTGGACGGTGTGGGACCCGTAGCCCAGGAAGATGTGGCGGAAAGGGGTATCCTTGGGGGAGACGTAAGGGGAGAGGAACTGGTACTCCACCTGCGAAAGGAAAGCAAGTATTTGGGCCACTTTTAAGATGTCTGGGCTTCAACGGACAGAATTCCGCTTCTAAACCAGAGGTCCCCCAATCTTTTGGGCACCGGTTGCGTGGAGAGAGGTTTTTCCATGGACTGGAGGGTGCGTGGTTTTGTGTGCTGCCTGAATCCCACGGATGGGGCTTTGCTGGTTTGTGCAGACCGGTTGCCGGCATGCCGTGGCCCGATACCAGTCCACGGAGCGGGCGTTGGGGACCCCTGTTCTAAATAACAAAATTAAGACTTTGGGGAAAGTGCAGAGAAGAGCAACTAAGATGATTGAAGCCCTGGAGGTCAAAAGGTATGGAGGACAGTTGCAGGATTTGGGTTTGGCTAGTCTAGTGAAAAGAAGGACCGGCGGGACATAATAAAGTTGGAAGGGACCTTGGAGGTCATCTAGTCCAACCCCCTGCTCAGGCAGGAAACCCTATACCATTTCAGACAAAGGGCTGTCCAGTCTCTTCTTAAAAACCTCCAGTGTTGGAGCATTCACAGCTTCTGGAGGCAGGTTGTTAATAATAATAATGTTTGAAGGGACCTTGGAGGTCATCTAGTCCAACCCCCTGCCCAGGCAGGAAACCCTATACCACTTCAGACAAATGGCTGTCCAGTCTCTTCTTAAAAACTTCCAGTGATGGAGCACTCACACCTTCTGGTGGCAAGCAGTTCTACTGGTGAATTGTTCTGTCAGGAAGTTTCTCCTTAGTTCCAGGTTGCTTCTCTCCTTGATCAGTTTCCATCCGTTGCTTCTTGTCCTGCCTTCAGGCGCTTTGGAGAACAGCTTGACTCCCTCTCCTTTGGGGCAGCACCTGAGATATTGGAAGACTCCTATCCTGTCACCCCTCCAAATATTTGAGGGGCTGCCCCAAAGAAGAGGGGAGGTCCACCTCTTCTCCAAAGCACCAGAAGGCAAGACAAGCAACAAGGGATGGAAACTCATCAAGGAGAGAAGCCACCTGGAACTAAGGAGAAACTTCCTGACAGTTAGAACAATTCACCAGTGGAACAACCTGCCTCTAGAAGTTGCGGGTGCTCCATCACTGGAGGTTTTTAAGAAGAGACTGGACTGTCACTTGTCTGAAATGGCATGGGGTCTCCTGTCTGAGCAGGGGGTTGGACTAGAAGACCTCCAAGGTCCCTTCCAGCTCCGTTATTATTCTTGAATGTATATATTGCCAGGCCCCTTCCAGCTCTATTCCGTTCTTCTGAATACTTAAGGCAACCAACATCAATAGCAAAGGATAAGCTTAGCCGACTTCTTCACGCAGAACCGTCGTTAGCAAGAGGGGAAAAAGAAAAAGTGTAAAAAGCTCACTTTCATAAGCCGGTCGTTCAGGAGACGGGACGCATCCCGGTTGTCAAGGTCTGTGTTTTTCACATCCTGGGTCAGAGCAGTTGTGGCGCGAGTAAAATCTCCACGGGCCTGAAAGAGCCACTGAATGTCCAAACCCAGTTTCTACGGCAGAAGAGAAACAGGACCGCTAGGTTAGCAACCAGGACACACAACGGCAGCTGCGCGGCAATTTATCTCCGGCTTCGTCAGGCCGCAGCCCACCGGTTGGGGACCCTTGCCGTAACGAACCCGTCTCCCGTCCCTTTACCTTCATCTCCTTCTGGTAAGGGAGCAGTTTGGCCACAAAACTGTGCAGCCGGCTGTCGTAGCTCTTGTAGTCCAGGTAGAGTTCCCGGTCGTGGGTCAAGCGGAGGGCCATCCGGCCGGCGATTTCGGCAGCCAGGCGGACGGCGTTTTCCATCAGGTTGACGCTGTTGCCGAAGGCCGAGAGCAGGTTGTCTGGATTGTCTTCGGCTGTGCCGAAGTAGGGGTAGGGGTAGGTGTCCACGCCCTACGAGGGAGAAACAAACAAACAAAAAACAGTGAGCCGTGCCTCGCAGAGTGGTGTCTTTTTCTGTGCCCTGGTTTTTGCCTCCAATCTAGCAACAGATTGACAAGAGAGAAAATAGGAGTTTTGTGAGCTGAGACTTGTAAGGAAGCATCCCGTTTTCCGGCTGCTTCGTCGGTACTTAATAATAATAACAACAAAAACAATAACAATAATGAAGTAGGAAGGGACCTTGGAGGTCATCAAGTCCAACCCCCTGCTCAGGCAGGAAACCCTATACCATTTCAGACAAAGGGCTGTCCAGTCTCTTCTTAACAACTTCCAGTGTTGGAGCATTCACCACTTCTGGAGGCAGGTTGTTCCACTGGTGAATTGTTCTAACTGTCAGGAAGTTTCTCCTTAGTTCCAGGTTGCTTCTCTCCTTGCTTAGTTTCCATCCATTGCTTTTGTCCTGCCTTCAGGCGCTTTGGAGAATAGCTTGACTCCCTCTTCTTTGGGGCAGCCCCTGAGATATTGGAACACTGCTATCATGTCCCCCCTCGTCCTTCTCTTCATTAAACTAGACATCCCCAATTCCAGCAACCGTTCCTTCTATGTTTTAGCCTCCAGTCCCCTGATCCTCTTTGTTGCTCTTCTCTGCACTCTTCCTAGAAGAGTACAGCAAGCGTGATAATAATAATAATGTTGGAAGGCATTCCAGTATCTCAGAAGAGGGAGTCAACCTATTCTCCAAAGCACCTGAGGGCAGGACAAGCAGCAACGGATGGAAACTCATCAAGGAGAGAAGCAACCTGGAACTAAGGAGAAACTTCCTGACAGTGAGAACAATTAACCAGTGGAACAACTTGCCTCCAGAAGCTGTGAATGCTCCAACATTGGAAGTTTTTAAGAAGAGACTGGACAGCCATTTGTCCGAAATGGGATAGGGTTTCCTGCCTGAGCAGGGGGTTGGACTAAATGACCTCCAAGGTCCCTTCCAACTTTATTATTATTATTAAGAATCTGCCTTCCCATCATGCAACAGCCGTTTTAGGAGGATGGGTGTGTGGGTTTTTTCGATGTTTTTTTTGCAAACTGTCAGAGAAGGGTACCAATATACAGCACCACAGAAGGTTGAGCCTCCAGGCAGCCTCAGAATCAAAAGTAATGATTTAGAAGCTAACCGCCTAATGTAAGATGTATGATATAATGACTGGGAACGACTCAGCAGGGTCTGTGTCCCTTTAAGAGCCAGCTGGGTCTGTGTCTCTTTAAGAGCTTTATATAAAAGGGAAGGCTCCACATGTGTGTGCTCTCTCTTCCGTTTCCTGCTGCGTAACTGCTGCGTGTTGGATCCTGCTGTATTAACACGTGTATGTATATTGTTCCCGGTGCATGCTATTGTAGATAGTGTAAGATAAACCACCATTTAATGTAGACCACTGTTTACTGTGTTTACTCCTGGGTTATCTCAACGCAACAGGACTGTGCACGCTCTCACAACACTCATGTCATGGGTAGCTGGGAGAAGAATGCCGTTGTAACTTCCAACGGCCACTAAACAAATGGTTGCTAGTCAAGGACTTCCGGTGTGTAAGCCACAGTTTCTCTTTTCTAGGTTTTTGACACTTGTTTTGTTTGTCATCACTGGCTTTGACTGTCCCCTTAGATTAGGGGGGGTGTCCCCAAACGTGGCCACTTAAAAGACTTGTGGACTTCCACTCCCAGAATTCCCCAGCCAGCCAAGTCCACAAGGCTTAAAGTGGCCACGTTTGGACACCCCGGCCTTAGACTCTTCATCAAAGCGCTTGCTCGATGGGCAGAGAGCAAATGCTCTGAAGCCCAACTTCTGAGTGTGGGGATGTCCACACTGACCCAGCAAGACACACACACACACCAAGTTCTGAAGGCAGTTTGCACACTCCCAACGTCAACAGAGGCAGTTGGAAAGCTACCGCAGCCGAAGGGCAAGTTCAGAACTCACGTTGTTGATGCTGAAGGAGATGGCTGGGATTCCTGAACATGCGATGAATGCTCTGGCTGCGTCATCTACACGAAATGGAACTCTGGATTTTGGGGGGGGGGAGAGAGAAGAAGGGGGCGAGAAAGAGAAACACTTTTCAGCCACGGCCTTATAACTTTTTAGAGAGCCAGGATGGCCTAATGGTGAAAGCATTCACCTGGAAACCAGGAAACAGTGAATGCTAGACCCGCTTTAGACAGAAAAGCCAGCTGAGTGACTTTGGGCCAATCACCAGGAGACAGAGAGTTCTAGTCCCACGTTAGGCATGAAAACAGCTGGGTGACTTTGGGCCAATCACCAGGAGACGGTGAGTTCTAGTCCCGCCTTAGGCATGAAAGCCATTAAGTGACTTAAGGCCAATCACCAGGAGGCGGTGAGTTCTAATTCCTCCTTAGGTATAAAAGGTGTCTGGGTGACCAATCCCTCTCAGTCCAACCCACCTCACAGGGTCGTTGTGGGGAAAATAGGAGGAATGCGCACGATGTCTGCTCTCAGTCTTGAGTAAATTATAAAGTAATAAAGGCGGCGGGGGGGGAGGGAAATCTAATCAATAAACTACAGCATCAGAACTCCACCAATATACACCAATAACCAAGTTACAAGGAAGCAACAATATCGTGGTTTTTGGGGGCTGGGCGAAGAAGTTTTAGATTGAGGTTTTTGACTATCTATGCTGCGTTCCAGCACATCCTAGCAATCTGAAAACAAGTTTCAGGCCAAAATTGCACAAAACTAAGTTTTCTCAATATTATTTATTTATTCAGAGAAGGAAAACATGCTCATTTCCTCCTTCGGTCCTTCTTCAAATTCACTTTTCAGAAAAAAAGGCACAGCAGAATTAAGATTCGCTGTGTGGTATGGGGCAGGGTGCTTATTTTTCGCCTGAAAAGGCTCTCCCTGAAGAGTAGGCCTTGTAACGGAGGCCACCTGCACGTGGGAAGAGGCTATAGAAGCAGCTCTCCTGCAACCTGCCAAGTCTAAATGTTATTCATTTATTTAGCGCACAGCATATCACACGTGGACCAGCAAGATAGATTAACATTTAATCTAGATTAGTAGAACCCAATAAAAGATACAGTAAATGTGAAGAAGATCTGCGTTCAAATGCCAGTCTCTAGGTCAGTGGTTCTCAACCTGTGGGTCGGGACCCCATTTGGGGTCGATCGACCATTTCACGGGGGTCGCCAAGCAAGGCTGTCCGCCATTTTTTTTGTCCGCCATTTTTTTCCCCTTTTCCGGCGGGTGCCTTACCTCCCTTGGGCTGGGCCAGCTGGTGGTCGGCCTGCTCCGTCTCTGCCGCTTGCCAGCTACGCCTCGGCCGGCGCAGGGGGCGGAACCACGCATGCGCGGCGCTCCTGGGCAGGGAAAGTCCTTGACTTACGACTGGTTGGGCAGTCCTCGACTTACGACCGGTTTAGTCCTCGACTTACGACCGGTTGGGGGTCGCGGCATTAAAAAGGTTGAGAACCACTGCCTTACATGGTGCAACTTCTTAATTGATTGCATATTCAAATAATGGAGTAATTACTTTGTTGAAGTGCTTAATTACATGTTATGACGTCCAGGAAGATAGTTTGAAAATGGGGAATAAAAGTTGATTTCTTCTGCTCTTTTCCTCTTTAATATTTCATTCCCAGAATGAAATCTGAGTGCAATGTATTTCAGCAAATATTGGGCAGATTCTGCCTACACAACATGGTGGCCATGCCCACTTGGCCACGCCCCTGGCACCCGGCGATGTATAAGTGGTTGGGGGTCATCACAACATGGGGAACTGTATTATGGGGTCGCGGCATTAGAAAGGTTGAGAACCACTGCTCTAGGTGATCTAGCCACGGAAGGGCAGCAGCATTGATATTTATTTTCAAAGTGGTCTGAATGTTGAGTAGTAGCTAGAAGCAGCTCAGCACAGAATCTGGTGTAAGGGAGACGCATCTTTAGGCCGTGCGCCTTGCGTTTGGACAGAGGGGATGACGCAGTAGATGGGGCGATGGTGAAGCCTCGCAAATGCAGCAGGCAAGGCCAGAAAGCTCGGAGACTTCTCGTGTGTGTGTGGGGGGGGGGGGGGAACATTTAGGTTTTATAAAATCTGACTATCAATGACAGTTTTTAGCTGCTTCTTGGAACGGTGAGCGGCACCGAACGGTGAGTCCTAACAGGGCCACCAGGAGAGCTTTACTTACTCTTGGCCTGCAAAACCGGCACGGAGATTGAGCGGCAAAAAGGTGGCCTAAAAAAAAAAAAAAGAGAGAGAGAGAAGCGCATCAGACTTTTTCCACAACAGGGATAATCCACAGCCCTTCACTGCCCCCGAAGACTTAAAGGTCTGTGGCTCAATTTCAAATCCCGCTCCCTTGCCTGAAATTTCTGCAGATCTTAAATCAGAAAGCAACAGGTGTTCAACAGCATAGCGAAGGTGAAGTCTCTGTGTGTAATATCTATCTATCTATCTATCTATCTATCTATCTATCTATCTATCTATCTATCTATCTGCCTCTATCTCTATCTATCTATCTATCTATCTATCATCTATCTATCTATCTATCTATCTATCTATCTATCTATCTATCTATCTATCTGCCTCTATCTATCCATCCCTATCTATCCATCCATCCCTACCATGTCTAAATCTGTCTATCATTTATCTAATTATCTATCTATCTCTATCCATCCCTATGTATGTATCTATCTATCCATCTCTATCTATATATTTATCCATCCCTATGTATCTATGTATCTATGTACCTATCTATCTATCTATCTATCTATCCATCCCTATCCATACATACATCCCTGTCTCTCTATCTATCCATCCATCTCTATCTACCATCTATGTCTTATCTATCTATCTATCTATCTATCTATCTATCTATCTATCTATCTATCTATCTATCTATCTATCATCTATCTATCTATCTGCCTCTATCTATCTGCCTCTATCTATCCATCCATCCCTACCATGTCTAAATCTGTCTATCATTTATCTAATTATCTATCTATCTCTATCCATCCCTATGTATGTATCTATCTATCCATCTCTATCTATATATATGTATCTATGTATCTATGTATCTATGTACCTATCTATCTATCTATCTATCTATCTATCTATCTATCTATCTATCCATCCCTATCCATACATACATCCCTGTCTCTCTATCTATCCATCCATCTCTATCTACCATCTATGTCTTATCTATCTATCTATCTATCTATCTATCTATCTATCTATCTATCTATCTATCTATCTATCTATCCATCCATCCATCCATCCATCCATCCATCCATCCATCCATCCATCCATCCATCCATATCTATCTATCCATCTCTATTTACCATCTATGTCTATATCTATCATTTATCTAATTATCTATCTATCCATCCACCCACCTATCCATCTCCATGCACCCATTACAAGAACCAGGCTGGTCTACTATTGAAGACACCAGGCTAGAAACCAGGAGACTTGTGAGTTTTAGTCCCGCCTTAGGCATGAAAGCCAGCTGGTTGAATATAGACCAATCACTAGGAGACAGTGAATACTAGACCCGCCTCAGGCTCAAAGGTTTGCTGGGTGTCTATTCGCCAATCCCCAGGAGACGATTGAGTTCTAGTCCCGCCTTAGGCATGAAAGCCAACTGTCTGACTTTGGGCCAATCACCAGGAGACAGGGAGTTCTAGTCCCTCCTTAGGTATAAAAGCCGGCTGGGTGACTTTGGGCCAATCACCAGGAGACGGTGAGTTCTAGTCCCGCCTTAGGCATGAAAGCCGGCTGGGTGACCTTAGGCCAGTCCCTCTCTCTCAGACCCACCCATCCGACAAGACTGTTACGGTAAAACAGGAAGGAGGATTAGATATGTTCGCTGCCTCGAACTTTTTTTACAATAAAATCAGTAAAGGCGGGGATGAAAATGAACCAATCAAACAAATATAGACCAAGATCTTCCTTTTGTTCCTGCGGGGCGATGAGAGGCACCCCCAGCTGCCTGGCTCACTCATCATCCTTTCCCCAGAAGACCTCCCAAGAGGCCACTCACCTCTGTGACGGCTTCCTCCAGGAGCTTTTTCAACAAGGGGCTGGAAGAGAAGCGGAACGCCTTGGACCCTGCGGGATGGAAAGAGAGGCTTCAGCTCCGGAGCCTCTGAGCTACCGAGACGGCAACACGACAAAGGCCGCCCGGTTTGAGAGCCGATTTGAAGAGCCGAGACCTTGCTGGCAACCTGGCTCTCTTCCAATTCAAACTTTTACCGAACTAGCCCAGATACGTACCTGAAACGGCCGCGTCCAGATTGATGTAAGCAAACGCCTTCAGGTGCAGCGAAGCGGCGTAGCCCTGAGAGGGTTTAGAGAGAAAATAAAATAAAAGTGGGGTTTGCAAACTCTTCTACAAGCTAAGATTCCTTTATTTATCGACCCAGTTTATACAGCCGCGCCTCTCACAGGAAAGGTGGAAGGTGGTTTGAGTAGCTGGAACGCTGGGCAAGAAGCTAGCAAGCTGTGTTCGAAACTCCAGAGCTGCCATGGGGCAGGGCTGAGCTCTCGTCCTTTACTCCAGCTCCTGGGGGGGGGGGCAGGAAAGGACCCCCCAACTGGGCATCCAGGGATGTCACTGTCTAATCCAGGGGGAAGGCCACCTTGGCTCTTTTGTGACTCGTGGGCTTCAACTCCCAGAATTCCTGAGCCAGCCATGCTGAGGGGAAAGGGAGAGATTTCCAAGCTAAGCCATGCTGGCTCAGGAATTCTGGGAGTTGAAGTCCGCGAGTCATGAAGGGGCCATAGTTCCCCCATGCTGGCTCAGGAATTCTGGGAATTGAAGTCCACGAGTCATGAGGGGGCCATAGTTCCCCCATGCTGGCTCAGGAATTCTGGGAGTTGAAGTCCACAAGTCATGAGGGGGCCATAGTTCCCCCATGCTGGCTCAGGAATTCTGGGAGTTGAAGTCCACCAGTCGTAAAAGGGCCAAGTTTGAAGACCCCTGGTCTAATCCTTTCAACCCGGAAGCATGTTCTGACTTTGTCGAGGGCAAAAACCTCACAAAATGCAGCTCTGTAGGCACAGAAGGGTTTCCATTTTTTTTTAATAAAAAAAAATCCAGCTCTTACCTCCAGCCACTCTGTGGCACCAACAGCTCCGAATTCGCCGGCACTCCAACTGGCAAAGATGATGCTTCTGTGAGGTTTGTAGCCGTCTGAAAAGCACAGGAGAGAGAGAGAGAGAAGGAAAGAGAGAAAGAAGGAAAGAAACGAAAGAGAGAAGGAAAGAGAGAGAGAGAAGAGAAAGAGAGGGAGAGGGAGAGGGGGAGAGAGAAGGAAAGAGAGACAGAGAGAGAGAAAGAGAAGGAAAGAGAAAGAGAAAGAGAAGGAAAGAAAGAGAGGAGAAAGAGAGAGAAGGAAAAAGAGAGGAAGAGAGAGAGAAAAGAAAGAGAGAGAGAGAAGGAAAGAGAGAGAGAGGAAGGGAGGGAGAGTGACAGAGAGAGAGAGGGAGAGAAGAGAGAGAAAGAGAAGGAAAGGAAGAGAGAAAGAGAGGAGAGAGAAGGAAAGAAAGAGGAGAGAGAGAGAGAAGGAAAGGGAGAGGAGAGAAAGAAAGAGAGGAGAGAGAGAAAGAGAGAGGAGAGAGGAGAGAAAAAAGAGAGGAAAGAGAGAGAGAGAAGAGGAGAGAAGGAAAGAGAGGAAAGAGAGAGGGAAGGAAAGAGAGAGAGAAGGAAAGAGAGAGAGTGAGAGTGAGTGAGTGAGTGAGTGAGTGAGTGAGAGAGAGAGAGAGAGAGAGAGAGAGAGAGAGAGAGAGAGAGAGAGAAATCAGCGATTCTATTCGGTTCCATCGTGCCCAAACAACCATGGACTTTTTCTCCCCCCCACCCTTGGTCCATTTCTCCCCCAAGCCTCACCGGTTTTGACCATCTCGGAGAGGGTGTGGGCCAGCTCCAGCAACAGGGCCGTCCCGACTGCGGCTTTCACCGTTCCGGTTTTCCAGGCATCGCGCTGAGCTCCGATCACGACATAGCGGTCTGCAGGAGAAAGCGGCTTTAACCGACGCCAAAAATGGGCAATGAAGCGGGGAGGGCTGGCTGGGACGGCCAGAAAGTGGCAGGATGAGGGTCAATAGGGCAGTGGAAAGCTCTGAAAGGTGTACTGGGCCCAGGATACGGCCTGACTCCGGTCACTGACAGGTAGT